TGCTCTGAAAGATTGACTTCTCCGCCCAGACAACTCCAACAACGTTGATGTTTGATTTTCGAAGACAAGGTCGTGAAAAAGAGAAGTTTGCTTTAAACTTTGCATGATTTTTCGAGGGATGTTGTCTACAAAGCACCGGATACTAAAGTTGACTCTACCAAACCCCGAATAGCCTAAGACATTAGGTTTTCGCATCCCCCATATTACAATGGAGAGCCCAACTTACAATGGCCCCCCCCCCAATGCATTGAGTTTGTTGACCAAGCCCAGTGAAGTTTCCATCATCTTTTGACACTAGGAATTCGCGATTTACCACGGAATGTTCGGTCGTGTTCTATGTAAGAACGCACCGTATGGGTGAACCGCATGATTTGTCGTGAATTATGCTCTTGGTGCCGTGTCGTTAGATACGGAATGTGAGACGAGGGTAGTAATGTTTAGATGATAGCATTGCGTTACCTATATATTTCATACTCGTGACTCTAGAATCAAGAATAATATATAATTATAGTATTATTAATATGATATCGTTATCTTCACTACTGTATATATCTATATAAGTGCTAAACGACGTATAGTACCGTAGCCAGTTCTCAAAACTATATAATATAGTTATAATATAATTATTCTATATACGCTGATGTTCTCGAACTTACTCGCGTTGGATGCTGCGTTGGTGAGAAGAAGGTGAATTCACTCCCGGTTTTGACACATCTCCCGAAACTCGTGCCTTTGACTTTGCTACTGAAAATATAAGCAATTTCTGTGATGCGTATGTAGAAATCAATGATCGCGTCACTGTAAGAGTTGGTTATTGAAAGGGAGTTTAATGATGATTACATCAGCGGTTTAACTGCTGTTATACTAAATTTCTGGCGATATGCCTACACCGCGTCTTCATGTGTGATAAGACAAGGAATGAACATGAGTATAACAATTACCCGAACCCTGTGTGTTAAATTTACCCCTTCCCCAAAGAATACCTTTATCTGATGTAGGCAGAGAAGCCCCATCCAGCAGACATAGAATGAGAATGTTTGTTATCCCCGCATTCAGATCACTTTAACATGTGCGTGACGGCTGGTAGTGTGTGGTGTGTTGGTGTGTGTTAAATGTCCACACTTCTGCCTCTAGTTTTAAGCCGCATTCCCCCTATTACCTTCCCCCTCTCCATGTTTTGATGCCCACTATGTAAATCCCTTTTTATAACACACTACACAACGTTTTATTCGGGCTTACGTACAGATAGTATATTGACGTGATTGCCGCAGGAGTATCAGTGAATAGCTGCCGATTGCTTCTATGGAACTGAAAAATGTTGCTTCTGTGTTGCAGAATGCCGAGCAGCTGTAATGGATGTTTCCTCTTTCATCTACTTCATTTAGCCAACATTGAGAACAGACATTTCGGAACGAACAGGATAGTACTTCTCTCCCGTGTCACCCTATCACCTGTCACAGCACGCCCCGTTCCCAACTAAAGATGAGGTTTTCGGAGAGATATCGTTATTTTCCATTATGCGTGCACTATTCCCTTTCTTCTTACTCCTCATCCTTCTATCTCGTTCTTAATTCCCTCTTCCCCTTCACGCTGTCAAAATATCATTAATTCAGAGGTTTGATTTTCATACAATTATTCCTTTTATACTCCTCCCCTCTCTCTCTCATCTTTTATCCAACGAGCCATAAGGAGAAGAATTCAGTTATGTCGATAGCGCGAAATAACATAAGTTAATAACATGAATCGGCCAAGCCAAGAATCGCGCAATAAAAACACGTACCGGGTGAAACCCAACGTACAAATGCAAAACAGACGAGTAATTACAAACTTGTCCCATACGATTCATAGGCTCTCCGAAGAATTAAATAACTCATACGCAGGAACCCCGGAGGTCCGCAGAACTATAGAGTAATAAGTATTGTTTTACCCGAGAAAAGATGATATATGTAAACTATCATGGATTAACAGTGTTACTGTTATTCCAAGCAAACCAGTATTTCAAGAAGATGATTACGAATCGAGCAACCAACAAATACACGCAATAAGCACCTAACAATCGAAGCACTGGCTGAAGAGGCGTTCGGCTGACGCGCGACAAATGTACGCCACAATGAAAATCGAGAAAAGCGCATTTACACCTTATTTCCTCCTCTCCCTACTAACTCATCTTCTACATCTCCTCCATCTCTCATCTCTTCTCTCTCTCTCCTCTAGTAAATAATACCTAGTAACTCTACTGAATTGGTTGTACCGTTTTGTATAATTACAATTAGATATACTTTCCATCCCTCTTTCCCTAATCTCGAGTTTGGCGCCTGAGAGTGCGTTTAACATAGAGTATGTGCCTGAATTATTGGCCTCGGAGTCTTGCCAGTCGTCTTGCTGAATTCCGCACCATATGGATTGCAGCTGTAGAAAATCACCAATATAACAAGTACCTGATGGAAAAACGCACAGCGTCGGAACGCAGGAGTCTATCTACATAGTCTAAAAACACTAAGTTCAAGCCGTTTCGGGGGTTTTATAAAACGTTTGAGTCGTCGTCGGCTCCATTTCGTCATTATTTTTTTTTCTCTCATCTTCCCTTTCCGTCTTCGTTGCCCGATATCTAGAAATGTGCAGTGTGCATCTCTTCGCTTGCCCCCTACTCTTTCTTGATTCGCGGTCTTACTACTTTGCTAGTATCCATACACGAGCTTGTTCGCTATAGGAATATTGTTGTGAACATTGTTGTACCGGTGTGATAAGTTCTACTTCGCAAGAATTCGAACGAAATCGTTCGGAAAAGTGGCCTGTTCTCTTTGTCCAATGCACCCGCCAACCCCGGGGGGGCCCCTTTTCATGTTTCTTGTTGGGCTCCCGGCGTGCCCCCTTTTCTTGAGAACTGCGCATAGGTCGATCGGTTTTTTTCAATCCCTCCCAGCGTTTGACTGTGCTTCTTACGACCATCCCGGCCAGATGCTCATTAGATGAAAGTGCGTATTATCCCTTTCTATTTCATAATTTCACGAAATTTGACTCTGATGGCCCGTTCACGTTGGTGTGTTGTGTTAATAATACTTATTCGCTGTCTGGTTGGTACACTCTTCCTCCGATACCCCAAAGCCACAATTCTTTTCACTTCTTATTAGCATATCTCTTTTCAAACGACAGCTTCTTATTTCGCTGATCATTCGTCTCTAATCGGCACCAACTGAACCACTCCTACTTGTTGTTTCATTCTTTTCTCTCTTACTCCCGTCCTTTCTTCCTCTTCATGCCTTCTTTGTTATTTTCCTTTTTCTCAGGCTAAGAGAAGATAGTAATGTACACATGAAGGGACAGATGGAAGGAAGTAAAAAGAAAGAAGAAAAATAGCATAAAATGGAAGTAATATTAGTTTTAAATTTACTAATTGCAATTTACATCCCACCCAAAAACACTTATGAATAACCTGCAGAACACTGAATAGTCTTGATGATTTATGCTTCAGAAGCAACAAAACTTGTGAATTATGACACCTTATAATCTTCCATAATGGATAAACTATATTAATTGACTAAATAAAATTCCCTTGATGTGAAGATGATATTACTTTTCTTTTGGTGGCACTGCTCAGGCTTTAATGGATACGTAAACAGTGTACAAACAGCAACAAAATGTTATATTTCATTTGGACTTAAACAAAGCACTTTGTATCGACTGTAATCTTTTATAGTCATCCATAGGACTGCAAGTGATATGCTAATAAAAATTCCCTGTACTCGTCATGGGAATATTTTGTTTTGGGTGCAGGCTTAGAGAATAAAACTATTCCAGAAGTTGAATGTAGTGTCAGTGCCAAAATTGTCTAACCTTGGTCTTGTATCTTCTTTAAAAACAAAAGCTCGAGTAAACAAACTTCCCGTGACCAGGATGAGCATAAAAGAAGGCGAATAGTACGTATGATATATGCATTACAATACATAGAGATATAAAAAGCTTATCGAGCTGACCAATTAATTTTTATGAGCAATCTATTTTACAGAGAGAAGTATATGATATTGAATCCACAAATATAAAATATAAAAAATGAAAAAAATTAGGAAATGAAAGAAGATCGTTATTTTTAATTCACCTCTAGATTCATAAGCAGCTTCCGAGTTGGGTCCCAATAGTTGTCTTTTTTCGCATAATATTTAATTTCTTTCTTGAAAAAGGAAATAGAGTTGACTTAAAAAACTGAAATCGTGAAAAAACCGCCCGAACCTGACAGAAACAATTGAGCTTAAGACCCTCTATCTCCCGCAAGTTTCGACCACAGAAACCCGATACCATAAAAATACATTCCAAACCAGAATAAGAAAGATCCCAAAAGAGCCAATGTGTTATCTCCCCCCCAGTATTTTTTAAAAAATTAATCAAATCCTGCTGTTCTGTTTAGTTGAGCCATAGAAATGTAAAAAAAGTAATTAAGCCAATTGAACGACTACATCCCTACCCACCAGAGATGACTGAGAACGTAGTCCTGTTGCATTGCCCCTCCTCCGTCAATTTCCTCTGTGTTCTAAACCATATGCCTCTGAGCTAATTATCAGGTCCGTATATAAATTCTAGGACCCACATATTGGCTTTGTGTCATCCCTAAAACACACTTCTGTTGCTAGTCTTTTCATCCCGCCTGTGTTGCAAGGACTTCCCTGGCATAATATAAAGATTCATCCGATCTGTCCTTCCCTTTATTTTTTTCGGTATAGCCGAGACAACTAACCAATGAATAAACCTCTCATCGAAGAGCCGATGTTCGCTATTGCTATACATAAACCAACTCGATTCCCGGGTTTAACTGCCTGTGCGCAGTTGCAGGAATAAAGTTTGTCAAATAAACAAGGAAGCGTCTTAAAGACAGAGGCAATACAGCTAGCACTTCTTTTCC